CAGGGTCATGGAGGCATGCAAGCCATCACACCGGGTCAAGGTGCAGTCTCGTCGTGATGGACCGGCTCGATTAGGCACTAAGGTGTATTGAACACCTTGGACGTTTGACCCCGTCCGAAGCGCGAATGATCCGATGAACTGGACACTGGCTCTCAATGGACTGTGGTTTTCACACACCGTCCCGCGGCCTTGCGGATCAGGCTTTGACTGGTCGAAGGCTCCGGTTGTGAATTCCTCAAGAAAAATTCACCTGCCTTGGCCTGGACAATCTGGCACTATTTAGTTCACAAGTCAATCATGGAACGCTTTGCCTTTTTTATAAAGTTTGTCGTACCATGATTTGCCTGGCATACAGTTTGTCCTCAGACAAATGTGAAATATAAGATAATATATAATAATTGCTGAAAATCAAGAATCTATTGAAAAATACTTATTCCCATAGGTGTGCCTCAGCACGTCGTAATCGGACTGCTCAGAGAACAATAAGAATGAAAGGATTTCTGTACGTGTTGGTTTTCAGTTACTGAAGTAAATAAAATTGTTCATCTTGGTTTTCACGCACCGTGACTAAACCGAAAGTTCCCATATGGATAAGATGCTATGATCCTGACGCACTTTTTCTTCAACGACATTCGTTCTAAATTTCAACGTGATACCACAAACAGTAAACAACTTCACACATTCTGCCCATCAAACTAAAATCACAAATACCTGGTTATTCAAGATGTATTTTAATTTTAACAGAGATGCATAATGTTTTAATTTGACTTGAATTGGAGGATAGCAACTATCATTCTGGGTTGATGTATTCATACTGTGTGTGCGTAGTATCTAGGTGCGTGCATATTGGGAATCTGTTTCACCAGACCCAGAACCATTCATGAGGATGCGACTACTATGTGGCAAATCACATGATTGGTTATGAGTTACCCGGTTTCTGCTTCACGTATGTCATACACAATTTCTTAACTCGGCACTTGACTTGTGGAGCTATGACACAGTGGCCTTCTCCAAATATTGGAATCTGAGCACATCGCACTTGAAACTCTTGAAACCGACCAATGCACCAACGCACTCGCGTCAAAAAATGTCTCACCTGTACTTTGTTTAGCATTTCAATACCCCGACGAACATCAGACAGAGCAACGGCTTGAGGAGTGGTCACGATAATTGCTCCCTGGACAGGCACGTTCTGACAGACAGATAGCTGGACGTCACCAGTGCCCGGCGGCATGTCGACTATCAACGTGTGAAGTGGACCCCAACTGACCTGCAAAAAAAATCAAATGAACGACTGCATATGAACTGAAGCATTAAGTCGTGAGAGCCCGCTCACAATGAAATGTGTAACTCCGGATAACGGTAAATAAAATCAGTCAATGCCCTAAGTGGTGCGCCAATCTAACTTCCAGGGGTTAAATTGAGTTACATCGTGGAAAGGTGGGGTCTCATGTCTATCAAATTCACCCTCTAGCATTTTCTTTACAACAGTTGGGGTGGAGCTGCAATGCATGGAATTCCGCTGAGCTACCGACCTGTAGAGAATTCGCTGGAAAAACAATTCTCCACACCGCCGCCATGATCCACGTAGGAAAGAAATGTCTGGGTTTGCTCTCCCAAAAGGAGATGAAAACTGCTGATAAACATGTTATACTTATACAAACTGGAGACGAAATATTACGGGCATGAAGGTCATTCGTTTGCACAACCGTAAACCATACATCTTCGATGATCCGATTCGGCTTGTCGGACTGAACAACGATACCAATCACAGAAATTGTGATAGCTTACGTACTTCCATGACCGTGCAAGCTACACAGGGTGACTTTCCACAACTGTAGATCCAATCATACCTAAAAGATCAATGGGTAGAGGTCAGACAAAGCTGTCTTATAAAGCCAGCGGATGAGGCACCTTGTGGTTTCCTCCGAATACACATTTTGCCCATGAAGAGGTCATTCCAACAGATAAACACAGGGATGCCCAGTTTACTGATCAAAATAATCCCTGCTAGATGGACACAGGGCTTCTTCCCGTCTGTGGGAGAAATCTTCGGATTTCATTAGACAGCTACCGCCGGCACAAGCTGAGCAACACCCATCCAATAAGGTGCAGTCCTGTTCACGTTCCGCTTGTTTCATTGGGTGTATGATATTAGGGGTTGGTCCCGAACAGTGGACCGTCAGCTAACGCACCAGCGAACAATACACTGAATCGAAACCCGAAGAACTTGCGAAGCAGGTCTCAAGAAGCGGTGGTGGCCCGGTGGTAACGTCACCAATTATTGCCCCAGAGGACGAGTGTTCGGATCCCACCACCGCCTGACCTTCCTCATTTGTGTATTGTATGGCAGCCCTTTGATTGGCCGCCTCCCCCTTCCTGAAAATTGTATCTTTGTATATTCAATAAAAAGAAGTTAAAAAATTACACATAGATATTCCGGTAACGCTTCCGCGTTCGATCTACGTCCTACTGACTCGTGGCTCAAATTTTTGAGTCAAAAGGGCAGACCAGGGTCCCAAAGAAAAAAAACCCGGTCGATGTGGGCTACCGCGAAATACGTCGTGCCCTAAAGTCGCAGGTACTCATTTGTAAAACCCTCTTCCACATCAGTCTAGTTCTTCGTTGCATTTCCGAATCGCTCCAGATGGCTACGGTTCATGCAATCCTTCGGATATCATTCAGAGTTTCGGCAGTAAATCCCACCAATTAAAATTTACAGGATTCGCATTTAACTCACCGTTACTTGTGAGTACTGTTGTGGGATAAGTGTTATTCATTTAAACTGGCCGTCACGCACAATCATTAGTTCTTCCAATCAGCGATACATTCGGAAACAACAGATTTGAGTTTCGCTCTCCTTAGAGCTCATCAGTAGTGCATATCGACAGTCCAGCCCAGACTTTGAACTCCGAACCCATTGCATAGAATACGTGTGTCCACTGGGACAGAGCCGAACCGAATTGCCAATTCATGCTTGTTCAGGTATCATGTTCACAGACAGTCAGTCAGTTCATTGTGACCGACAACAACAAAGGGATACACAGTTAACCATTGGTGAATTCCAATCGAAAGCCTCCCCCCAAGTCAGGTATTCCATGCAGGCTGCGTGATATTTGGCTATAAACCAACTAGGCTGGATTAACAATAACCAAGATCGAAACTCGAGTTTAGTGCTTTCGAGTATGGTTGACTGAAACAAATGCTGACTGTCCGTGAAGGTGTCGTCGGAGGGATGGTCAGTTCGAATCAGTTATACAATTGTTGAAGATAAAATCTCTTCGTTCTGCCGCGTTTAACGTCCGCACACTATCAGATCGGTCAACAAGCTGCTTTAGCTCGAACCCTTCAAACTTTAGAATTTGACGTAATCTGTCTCCGATAAACACATGCAAGACCCTACTTCAATCATCCCGTGTGTTGTCCCGACCCAACCTCATCCTCAAACTTCAGTCTTCGTGTGTCAGGCGCATCAGTATCTGACGCTCGTGGTGTTGCTAGTGTCGGAATTGTGCTAAGTACCAAGACAATGCATGCGCTTCTTGGCCGGGTTCCAGTTAGTAGGCGACTATGCGCTGTACGTATCAGCAGTTCGTATGGTCAACAGCTACAGAACCGAGCGTTGATGCTCAATCATCGTGTCGTGTACACACCAACCGAATGCAGTACTATCATGACAAGACTACACCTTAAAGTGGTGTGATGGCTTGTGCACCTCTCTAACCGAACGAGCTACAAAGAATGACTTTTATGATTTAATCATACCTGGAGGCTCGAAGGGTGGAGGTCAGACAAAGTTCAGTCACTTGGTCCTCCAGGATAGAGATTCGACTAAAATTGCCGACTGTCACTAAAAGTGATAAAGGACCTCAACTTTGTTTCACCCGCTGTGTTGCAACTAGGTGCTTGTAACAACTTAAGGCTCTGGCTGAAAACCCTAATAGTTCTCCTGCTTAGTGGCTCTGCACCCTAGCCGTGCTCGTCCATCAAGCCCCAATGCATAGACAAACTAAAAATAATTACA